TTGAAAGGCTGCCCCAAATGCCGCAGCTTTGTTGAATTCTGGTTGGCTGCAAAGTGATTTACGCAATTAAAATAATTTCATTCAAATGGTCTATAATTCAACTGGCATTTCATGCGGCTCTGCAGCATCCACTTTCCACTTTCTACCCTACCATGCTCACAAAAAGCACCCACAGTCCTTGACAATTTATACACACACTTTCACACACACATACAGCCGCAGACACACTAACCATAAATCTGCTGTAAAAATGCATACAAAACTATTAGACACAAATTCATAGATTATCGCATCGGTCACTTTTATCATTCGCTGCATTATACAATGAATGTTAGGTCAGCAAGGATGACAATTGAACATGAAAGTATGCTCTATAAATTAGCACTTAACTATTCATATTTATTGAACTATATAATAATTTTGAATATTTATTTTTATTTATTGCCGCACTTAGCGACTGCTAATAATACTAAATTTTAAATATCCTTATATTATCTTTTTGTGAAAAGAGGTAAGGCATTTTAAAAGATCTCTCTTTCTGATAGTAGTAAATAAAATATATTTAAATACAAAAAGCTCTAACAATAGCAGGATTTACCTACTGAAACTTTTAAGTATGTTCGACTCTAAAATAAACAAAAGAGCATACAAATTGGAAGAATTCTAAGTTGCTGTCTTTATCTTTCGGGTCATTTGTTGAACTGGCGCACTGTTGCAAAATATTAGAAACCATAAAATGCTTTCAGCGCTCAATCCTAAAATGTATTGCAAAATTAGCGCATAAAAGCTGCTAAATTGTAGCGGTAATAAATGTCAAAAACTGAGCTCAGGCTTGTTTCGCGTATGTGGGTGTCTATGTGCCTCTGTGTGTATGTGTTTGTGTGTGTGGATGTGTAAGTGTGTGCCTATGTCTATGTGTATGCTTTAAGGCAGCAGCTTAAATATTCAACCTTTCTTATTATTGTTGTTGTTGTTGTTGGCATTGTGGATGTCACGACCGCTCTCAAATCAATATCGAGAATGCTACTGACTGCGACTGCTGTTGCTACTGGGCAACAAATGTGGCTAATGCCAGGCCATTAAATAAAATCTATCAGGCCAAAATTACATGCTGTTGGCCATGTCCGTCAAGAAGCGCAGGGACAACAACAGCCTAGTCGATGCGACGCTTGCTTAGGCAACCACAAAAATTTGCATAAGCAGCGCACATCAATTTGAACTCAGGCAAGCGTAAAAAGATTTTTATGCCAACGCAGTCACAAAATAAATTCTAAAATCCTAACTCTGTCTATTGCTATTCTGTGGTGTATTGTGTGCCCTAAAGCGAATTTGGTTTGCATGTGGCCATTTTGCGGACAACCTGATTATATTTACCACGCGGACATGCAGAAGGATTAGCGCTGCTTTGTGGCGAATTTTAATAGAATTACAGTTGCGTTGCGCTCAGCTGCAATCGTGCGTTCGCAAATTGTTGTCGCAATTTCATTTCATTCGTTTTTTATGCGGCTTGTCTCATTCTCATGCTTTTGTTAATGAGGCATGTATTTCGATATTTCAATTGAGATTCCAGTTTTGCTTTGATGCTGATGGTATTCGAACAACGCATATTTTATTTTAAATACCCTTTTGCCACAGAATACATGAATTTACTATTGATGTTTGCTAACCATAGTTGTGGCTTCTGCTTGCAAGCAGTCCACAACAAATGCTGGAAAAAATGCAAGCAGTTTATTATTTTATTGCATACTTTTAGGTGCTCACATACGATGAGTATAGGGTTCCAGCTAATTAATTATTGTGCCGCATTCTTTTCGAGCTGTTAATAAATTCATTTTTCATTTGCGAAGCAATTACTATCTTTGTGCATTATAAAGGTGTTTTTTCTTTTGTGGGGCTTAAAATGTGGTCATTCCACATAATTTTATTTACGCGCTGCTTTTAAGGACAGAAAGTGCTCGCATTGCTCACACAAATTAGTTTGCTGCATTACCTAAACTGGCCTTCCGCAAGAAAACCGCAGCATACTTACATGGGCACACAGGGGACAAGAAAATGGTTTTAGCTCGGCCATACAATTTCCGATTGTCCAAAATCAAGGCCAACTTACCACAGATAGTGTAATTTTTGGCCAACTTTTTCAATCGAAACTCAACTGGAGATTCTTGAATTCAAACAGATATACTTTATCTCGTGAGCTAATCCTCTCGAGATCTCTGAAGTTATGGCTGAACTATGACCTAAAACAGAATGTCCAACTCGGACAAATCGTTACAAATTTTCCAACGACATGGTGCACTTGAATCGCAAGGACCAACCCTATTGAACTGTGCTCAAAATATTATGACGTCATCTAAAGAAAAAGATTTCACTCGCTGGGCAAGCGGAAATGAGTCGAAATAAGAAACTGGTTCTTTAATTTGGGCATCTAGGACCCATAAATTAAATGAGTAATCAATCAATCGGACAACCACATTCCCGATTTCAGAATTAAAGCTAAAAAAAAGATTTTAGCACTTGCGCTTTCCTCAAATTGCCAAAATTACAGGACGCAACCCTTAAAGCACGCTTGTAATTTCAAAATCTACTAACCTCACTTGAATGTATCTTAGAATTGCTACCTGAATGCAAAGGGAATGCAACATTTCGGTTAGCAAAATGTTGATTTCTTAGTTTTCCTCTTTAAGCCTCTTCGATTTATTTGCTGACCCAGTTTTCAAGTATGCCCATCTTCCAACCACCTGGTAGTACTCGAGTGAGAGTTTCGTACTGTGCTATGCTGTGCTGGGCTGCCTGGGCTGTCTGGGCTGCCGGGCTGTTGCTGCTGTCTATAATCCAGAGATTACATGTGACACACGCATACGTTGCAGCTTATTTTTCATTTCTTCGGCTGTCGCTGCGTATTTCCTAGAGCTGTGAGCAGAATTGAATGGTCAGGGAAGTGGGAGGAGTGTGGAGGGTTGTGGGGCTGACGGCTGCTGTATTGCAATGTAGTTTTGCATAAATAATTGAGTAGCTTATATCGAAGAAATGAAGAACCCGAAACGCACGATTTAAGCTGTCAATTTTCAATTTGTTTTGTAAGCCTCCCAAATCAAATAATATCAAAACACGTAAATTGCTTCTTTTTTTTTAAATAAAAAATTGTTTAATCGTTCTTCATTTTGCACTGTTTAATATACATAGTTGTTGTTGTTGTTGTTTTTGATTTAGCACATGTCACAAGAACAACAAATTTACAATTTCAGCTTTTGTTTTTTTTACTGGCAAATGTTTTTCGTTACATTTTTTTCTCATTTTTTGGCGACATTTGCATATGGCTTTTGTTGTTGTTTCTATGTATTTGTTATATTTGTAATGCATCTATATATTATGTCATGCTTACGAGCGTGTTCATTTGTGTTTGTTATTGATTTCGACTGCCCAGTTATAAATCGTATAATAGTACTACATTATAATACATATTTTGACTAGAGCGCTATGTTTTGTTTTTGTTTTACTTGTTTGCCTTTTTATTTCAACAGTTAAAAGTGTTTGTTAATTATAAATAAGTTTCGTTTCATACATATCAATTGCTTTATTTAAACGCATAACTAATAACTATGCATGTTTATTATATTTAGTATATTAAGTATATAGCTTATACTTCTATGGGGAAATTACAGGCATACCAAAAAACACACAGACTCTCTCATTCATACACATAAAGTTCTAATTAACTGTTAAATATCGTACAGGAATTCGCATTTGTCTGATGACCTACTATAAAATTGGAATTAACATAATTTGCTGTATTAATACTACCTATCAAATGCCTCGTTATTGCCAATGCTGAGATACAGATACAAATTGGCTGGCATATGTATTAAATACACTTATATTCAAATACATCTATTTATTTGTAGCATTTATTAACGTTTTACATTTTGATTGAGTATTTGAATTTATACGGTTAGTTATGCATTTTACACTTGACGGAATATGGGATGACAATGGGAAGTTTATCGTTTTTTTTTGTTATCTATGGAGCAACATTTGAACTAAAAGTTGAAGGCAGATAAGAGAAATTGTTTACATACTTTGTACATATACCTTCTCTTCTGTGTTATAATGGTAGGTAATTATATATTATGTTACAATTAACCAGACATTTGTATGTATTTGTATCAATATATATAAATATGACTAACATTATTGTTACATTTTATGCTGATTGGAATAAAAATAAACGGTTATGAGTATTATTATAATTGCCTGCATTGCAGTAACAACATTGATTATAAATTATAATGTGACCTAAGATTAGATTTAATTTTAATTTAATTGTAGTCAAATTTTAAATCACAACGCGCAGCCGACAGTTTTAATTACATTACCGATTTCATTACATTACATTTGTGTTTGACAAATAAAAAATTGTAAATTCTGTTTATCTAATGAATATATTTTAATGAAAATATTTTTCAACGGCACTTTTATTAAGTTAGCAAATTCTCTTTGTCATATTTCGACCCAATGTCCAATAGCAAATTGCTAAATTAAATTAATTTACAAATTTTACGAACGAACACGCCGAATGCGAATTGCAAAACTATTAATGTTTATATTAAATGTTGCAAAATGTTTGTAATTAAATGTAAATTTTAAATTCTACAGCGACAAAATGGAAATAATAATAGATTCAGCACATAAGTTTTGATGACACAATTTTTACATAAAATTAGTTATCAATAAAAGTCAATTTTAAAATACAATTAGCAGTGGAAATGGAAGGAAATATGATAATTAAAACACAATCGTTGGAGTTTTTTTCTTCTATTTGTTTTTGTTGAGTTAAGTGGCCTACTTCTTATTGTTTGCCTTATCAGAATTATAAATTAATTGGTATTTATTGGCGAAAAAATAGGATAAATTTACCGTTGATGTGAAAAAATTGTACTGCGCAATTATTTGCATGATATGGCAATTAATTTATTCATTTTTATGGGCACTCAATAGCCAAGTTTTGTTTTTTTTTTGCTTTTTTTGCCTTTGTATTGGTTTTTCTGTGGCTGCTTCGTTTTTTTTTATTTTTTTATCTAATTATAAAATTCACCCCCGCGCGCTCATATTTATTTATTTATGTATTTAAAGGGCCATCATAAAATCTCTCGGATTTTGGTTTGTTTCTGTTTATTTGTTGTTAAGCGATACATTTCATGTTGCAATTATGTTAATAAGTTTACGTTAGTTATTTACATGCTTGCTTATTGGAACTATACAAAATACACATTAAATGTTAATCCGTTTGCTCTATGTGTGGGGATTATGCAATGAGGCTTTAGCCGGCTGTGAGCCATCATTAATTTTTATATATGAATTGCTAGTTTAGAACTGGCAAATGGGCCTTAATAGACTTAACTAGTTAAGTGTTTAGCTAGCCCAGACAGTCATACATACACACATACACATACATATAGTGGGGATATATAGATACAAAACAGATTAGTTAACGCTTTTTACCACGCCTCCAAGCGATCATCTGTGGCAGCTGCGTTTCGGGTGGGCGTGGCATGTCTCGCGACAGTTACTGCTAACCGCTGGGGACAGCTCAAGGACGCGTTTAGTGGCAGCTCCTGTTGTTGTTGTTGTTGTTGTTGCTGCTGCTGCTGCTGCCGTTGATGTTCTTATTTTAATGTCACTGTCACTGGCCGCGAGAGTGAGACCATGTCTGCTGCAACTGCCCCATGTGGCGAGTGTGGCAGCACAATGCTGCTGCTGCCGCTGACTGTAGCCGAGCACGAGAGCCAACAGCATGACAATTGTCAGCCAACTGTACTGGCAGCCGGATGAGCCCGTTTGCATTGCCTCCGGATGTTCACCTGAAATTATGGCCCGAACTAATTTCAACTTTATTGCATTGTCTGTAGCTTAGATGTTAAATATGTTGTTGAACAATAAGCACTTAATAAATGCAACCAGTTGGCCTCAATAAGTGTATGCATTTGTATCTTTGTGTGTTTGTGTCAAGTTTGCTGCTTCTTATTATTGTTGTTGTTGTTGTTGTTATTGTTATTGTTCTTGCTTGTCTCTTTATTTGTTGCGCTCTGTTTGGCTTCTGCACATATAAGTGTTTGTTTGTTTGCTTGTTTGTTTGTAGTTGCTCTTGTCAGTGTCTATGTGCACGTGTGTGTGCTTAACACATGGATATTTAATTAATGTGCAGCTTCTGTTTATCTAGTTGGCCCAGTTGTGCCTCAGTTGTTTTGTGCATTCAAATGCAAATATGGACAGCATACCAAATTAGTAAATTTCATTTGAAGACTGACAGAAATCTCATTTACGTTATTAAATTACCTGCCAAAAGTTTCCCAAAAAAAAGATTCGAAAATCGCCTCATAAGAGTGTGAAGAATATATTAAATTTAATTGCCAATATTAAGTGAAGTGTTTACTCACACATACTCAAAGGGTGTGTACACGCGATGTGTGTGTATCTGTACGATTAATAAAACTGTAGCTCAAGGGAGCCAACGCCTTACACACACGCCAGCACACACACACACATACATACATGCTTGGTGTGTCCTTGTAATTGATTGAGTTCAATTTTTCAAGCAATTAACTTTTGCACTTGAAACTCAATACAATGTGCAAACAAACATGGCAAGCGTTCAGCTCTCAGCACGAAGCACGCAGCACTCAGCCAGCAGCTGAACAACTCAGTCCAGCTGCCCCATGACGCAACGGAACACGCGACGTATACGCAATGTAGCAGCTGCTACATGGCTGCTAACGTGATTGGATCGTAATAGCTATAAATATTTTGGTTCACTGCATAAAACTAAGAGTAGCATGGAAATATATATCTTAAATTAATATTTTGAAATTCAATTTCTAGCTTAAGCTTAACTGAAGTACTTTTTAAGATGTTGCAAAAATGCTTTGCAGCTAAATCGGAGGTCGCAAAATGCCGTCTGTCTGTCTGTGTTATGTTTAAGCGCGATTTGCGTCATATGCGTGCACATCTCTGGGTATGGCACCCTCAATTCACTCTATGCTCCCCTGCCCTGCTGGCCACAAGCTTCAATTTGAGCTTTTTTGTTTTTGTTATTGTTGTTGTTGATGCGGTCTGAGCTGCGCCAGCAGCTGCTTAATAAATTTCTGGCCGCAGCGCTGAAAATAAACATATTACGCATACGCAATGTGGAACGGTCTATAGCCAGAATTGGGATGTACTTGGAGTGCGGGCAACAGAGTTAGGTGTGATGTGGGCGAATGTAACACAATGTATTTGTTGACAGGACAGGAATTATTAATAACGTACGTGGCGCACATAATTCATCATCTGAGCTGAGCTGTGAGCAGAACTGAGCCGAGGGCAGGCACAAGGCCTCAGAATCCGGATTGCCTAAAAATATCTTTGGGCTACGGCTGTGAAAACACAAGTCACAAACCTCGACTAAGCCAAATAAAAGCGCATAAAGTGGAGAGAGTGTAACAAAAAAAAAAAACAAGAAGTTCTCAAAAAGAAAAAATAAAATAACATCCAAGTAAAATATGCAAAATTAGCGCTGATGGATTTTCAGGAAGGAAGCAAGCGGGCATGCAAAGACGGCAGGAAGCAGCTAAGCAAGTAGCTACTAGCTTCAGACACACAGCCATAGACCGAAGCGCAGACAATAGAACACGTAGGACGAACGACGAGATAAAGGACGAAAAGGGGGTTGAAGCAAGCAAGCAGCAGTAGCCAACAGTTGCGTTGTTGGGTTGACTGCAATGCACGTTAGTTTTTGAGTGTTTTTATGAGCAGCTTTGCATACTTTGGTAGTATTTTTACATTTTATAGCGCGTTTTGTTTGTGCAGTCGCCGGATGAAGACGAGTAATGTTTGATGTCTGTGCGCCAGAGGAGCAAGAGCTGAGAACACAATATGAATCAGACAGACAGAGAGAAAGAGAGAGATTGATAGAGATAAAGAGAGAGAGAGAGAGAGAGGAGTTAGTTGTAAGTGCATCTCAAGTGTTACACTAAGCGCCGATTTAGCCTGATTTGGTTAAAGTGGGCATTCAATTAGCATTTACTCGCATATTTTCTTTTGCACACACTTACAATTTGAACCGCTCTTGAACCGCTCCACTCAAATCTTTGCCGTTTGCTTGAGTGCTTGTTTTTTTTTTCTTTTTGTGTGTTCTTTTCAATTCTTTCGCCTGCGTATAATTGTAAAAACATTACACAGTTCATTAACGCGCTCGGCTGCTTTCGTGCTCCATTGCACACTTATTGTTAAATAATTACCATTATCAAGTGCAAGCAAGTGCGAAATAGCAAAAAATGTTGATTGCCATTAAATTGTGATTTGACACAAAATTTCCCAAGAGTTTTTCTGCCCCCTGCCCGTCCCAAACGTCACGTCTCGTATTGTGACTCGTAAATTAAGTCAAACACGAGCAACATGGTCAGTGAAGTGAAGTCCTGGCCTTTGTTACATCTCAAACACTGTTGAAAAAAATGGGGTTTTAAGTAAGCAAAAGCAAAGGAACTTCATAGATTTTTATGAGATTATAGAATGACCATATTTCAATGACTATTGTTGAACATCTTTTAAGTTATGTTCACATAAATGTATATACATATTTATCTTCTCGTCTATAAGAACTCAAACAAAATAAATTAAGTTCAACTTCAACTTTAAAAGATTCTGATTGCGATTGCAGTGTAACCGTATTTGAGTTTGCTCGAATTTTCACTGAGTCACGTTTATTTTCCGGGCTCGTTTCCGTTTGAGCCCGCCTCTATTGTTTAACTTTGCGTGCTTTTCAATTATGCATTAAACTACCGCTTATATTACAGTCACTATAAAAACTATTCGCAGCTGCTGTCGCTGCACCCGCTGCCATTCTTATTCCCACATCTCTCTCCCCTGCTGTTTGACACTGTGCACATCCGGCTTGAGCTTGATAAGTATTTTACCACTTTTATCGCTGCACATTCAATATATGTATACCCCACAACGGCAGGGGTAAGCCAAGTGGAGGTAGCCTGAGGGAACTTTGCCACGTTAAGGTATATAGCGACCTCGAAGCTGGACGCTTTTTATTTTGCTACTTATTTTGTCGCTCGAGAGAGCGAGTTTATAAATAAAATGTGCATATGCGACAACGGTCGTGCACGCAATGGCTGTGCTTGGCAGGACACGGAAAATACTAGCGCGCGAACAAAAACCGGAAGCTATGAATCGCTGTTGTCGTCCTTCGCCGTGTCCCCGTCCACGTATACAATTACGTCTACGCTCCACGTTCCACGTTCAACGTTCAGCGTTCACGTTCACACCCTCGTCCTCGTCCAAGTTCCCATCCTGTTATTGTTTTCGCCACACACGTCGCGGTTGGCAAAAGTTGCGCCTTTCGTATTTCAGGATTGTTTTTCATTCTGTGCTGACATTTACCTTTCTGTCATTAATTTTAAGCTGCACTGTCCAAATTAAGAGCACTTCTTCGTGTACTCAAATTAATGCCAGCCATTCAGGTTTCGCAGCTTTTAACTTAAAATTTACCTTGTTAAACAATATTTCAGTTTATATTGAGCAACGTAAGCCATGGCAATCTTTTTGCTTCGAGCATTGGCTGATAGTAATATGAATATTTTGACATAAAATATCCTCTTTAGTTAATTGTTTTTCACTAGCTAGCCAAAACGGCTTTGATCTCCTTATATTATGCTTTACGCGTTTCAAATTTGTTGTTTCTATTTCAGGCATTAGTAAAGTTAAATTGTTTTGTCGAAATTTCAGAGCTTCAACTTGAGGAGCTGTTATCTTTGAAATTTTATCGGTTAGGAAGTCTGCCTAAAAATAAAAAAAAGTAAGTTTCTTAATTCCTTGTCTGCTTTCGCTCTGCGCCAGTGTTTCACTTTGCTTAAGAAGCAATTGAAAAGTTTTGATTTTCATTTAATTTTTATTTTGATTTCTGTACGATTTTGTTTTGGATTTTATTTTTGGCACACAAAACTGTTTATAAAGTTTTGGATTTAATGCGCAAATACGCATTATGGCCCTTCTTCCCTTATTCCAACTATCTATCTAACTGTCTATCTGTACGCCTGACTTTCAGTTTGTTTGTCTGTCGTTTAGTCCATTCGTGTATCTATCTGGTGGGGTATCTTTTTGGTCCGACATTTGTTTGCTTGTAATACTATCTTTTAACAATATTGTCGTTGCTCGTTTGTTGCTAAAATTTTGTTTCGCTGCAAAAGTTTTTGCTCAGCCTGAAATAATAATTGAATGTCACTTGAACGACAAGTTGTGCTTGGATTTAACCCCGCCCCTTTCTGTCTTCCTCCTTTGAGTTTGAGCCCTGTTCGAAAAGTAGCAACAATTTTGTCAAAGTGACAAAATGGCGTTTCGGGCCAATATGTAGAAAACTTGTTTTTGGCTGGCTTAACCAAGTTTCTATAATATTGCGACAAAACCCTGTTTTTTGTGTGTGTGTGTGTGTGTTGCTTTTTATCAGCGGTTTTGCTTGGCTTACAAGAATCTGGGTCGAAAATTTGAATTGAATTTTGAGCAGCGCTCAAGAGGAATTTTTAATTGAGAGCCATGGCCAAAAGCGAGTGCACACAGTGCAAGTCTGGGCAACTTGGTAAAGCCCACAGTAGACCGCAAAAATAGTTCACTTAGTTTTGTGTGAGGCCTCAAGCCCAAAAACCACATTTGAACTCCCCGAAAGCAACTCATATAAATCACGAATGAATTAAGTGTGGTTATGTTCTTGTTCTGCTCGTTGTTGTTGTTGCCATTATTTGCTGGGCAGTTATATTTGCTATCTCTCTTGCTTTATCTGCAGCTGTTTCTCGATCTAAACGCAGGTTTGCCTTTTGCGCGTTTCATTTTCTGTTGCCAT